CAATGGATATGCAACTGATGAGGAATAAAAAATAGTTTTGTAGAAAATATTTGTGTTTTTATTTCGTTTTTTTCATCCAACCACAACGCCATATGCCTAGAGATATTCTAGAGACTCTATAAACAACGACATATGATTGGATGTGTCCGTTTGTCAATGTGCGCATCTGGGACTCACTCCGATTTTCGTACTACTATTTGTGATGTAGAGTGTAAATTGTGGTTTTGATAATTATTTAGTTTAACGGCAACACCTCCGATTTCGATGAAAATAGACTCAATCGACACGTTTTTGTATGCCAAACAACTTTTTCCTCTGACAAAATCGTCGCTCTCTATTGCGAAGCGAGATATTAATAGACAAAGTTGAGGGCGTGTTAGGTTAGAAAATCTATCATGTCATTTATCTCTAGTTATGTAACTGAGGGGCTTTGTCTCCCAGACCTCCCTATCACGGGGGGTGGGGGCTATAGTCTCTTGTGCTTAAGCTAAAAAGTGAATTTCTCACAAAAGAGTACATATGCATTGCATAAACAAACGATACATAATTAAATGATGATAAAATAAACGGTGCATATCATTCTGTGTCCAAATAAACAAGCAACTGAACGATGTCCAAGTGAACGGTGTCCAAATGAACAGTGCGCATCCGGTGTCCAATTGAACGGTGTCCAAGTAAACTGTGTCCAAATGAATGGTGTCCAAGTGAACAGTGTCCAAATGAACGGTGTCCAAGTGAACAGTGCGAATCCTTCTGTGTCCAAGTGAACAAACAAGCAATTCCACGGTGTCCAAGTGAACGGTGTACAAATGAACAGCACGCATTGTTCTGTGGCTAAGTGAACAGTGGGCAACTGAACGGTGTCCAAGTGAACGGTGTCCAAGTGAACAGTGTCCAAATGAACGGTGTCCAACTGAACGTTGTCCAAATAAACGGTATGTAACTGAACGTCGTGCATTTTCTTTCGTGTCCAAAAACAACGGTGCCCAAAAGTTTTGTGTCCAAACGCACCGTGTCCAATTGAACCGTGTGTCAAGTGCCGTGTCCATTTGCACCGTGTACATTTGCAACGTGTCTAATTGTACTGTGTCCAACTGAATGCCACTCGAATTTTTAACGGCGTGCGAATATGCGTTCGAACTGATACACCCTGCTGACGAACCCACATTATTTCAAGCAGTAATTTGCACTAAACTAAAGGGCATTGCCCTAACTGAGGTTAAAAACCGATACATTCCTACTTTTGCTGTCCTAAAGGATGTGTTAGAAAGATGCTTTATGAAAAAGAAATCGTTAACTCGACTACTTCGAGATTTTAATAATTTGCATCAGAAGTCTGGAGAAGATGCGCGAACTTTCGGAACCCGTGTAGAAACATTAACCACGGATCTATTCGAAGCCGGTACAGAGAGGGATCTTTATTCTCCCTCGTAGAAATTCGGCATCCATTTCCTTTTGAAATCGTTAACCCTAATCAACTATCAACTATCAACTAGGACTAAACGACAGGCTACAAACAATAGTCCGGTCCTGCGCACCCGCGTTGTTAGCCGAGGCAATAGCAGGAGCAGTAGAGGAAGAAAGGATTAGAGGAACCCAGAAAGCTCCTGCGCGAACCTACGAAACAAATCGGTATAACCGAAGCTCTCTCGCGAATACTAAACAAGATAATTCTATGGCACAATGCCAAAAATGAGGAAAATTAGGGCATCAGGGACGCGAATGCCGTAGTAGTCGATATGGTAACCGGTTCGTTCTACCTAAACCAGCAGTACCTTCTCACGTGAATGCGACCGACACATGGTGTACACGATGCAAGAAAAACGGACATACGAGCGATAGCTGATGGTACATACACGAAAAGCCGACCGAGACACGGGACACTGCGAGTGACTATCACCGTGCTAGACACAAATAAACTATTGACATCTCGCAGAAACGGGAGCGTCAGATTCAACAATGACCAAGAGGAAAAAAACAAAAAAGAGAGCAAAATCGCGTGCGCGACTACCGCGTACCAAATCCTGCGAAATTTACATAAACGCACAGGATTTAATCTTGCCAATAAAGGAGGCCAAACAAGAGAAAATACCTTTTCTCGTTGATAAAGGATCCGCCATAAGTCTCGTAAAGATACGAACACTAGACGATGATACCCTTATGACTGCGGAAAAACTGACACTGACTGGTATCACCGGACATAAAGCCTATACGATAGGAAAAATAATCGCCACAGTCAACATAGGAAACCAGCGCCGAAAATTTGAACTGTTCGTTGTACAGCACGATTTTCCAATCAAACACGAGGGAATCTTAGGAATAAATTTCCTTTGCGAACACCGCGCTAAACTAGACTATAAAACAAGAACAATGACGGTTTCCGGACAAAGTCTATCACTGATACCACAGCAAACAACCTCCCCGCCGCGGTGAACATAAATCCAGTGGGAATAATCCCAGCTGAAGAAATTTCGCAGGGAATTTTTATTGGAAATTGCCAGGTAGAACCTGACAATTATACATGTCCAGCAACAGTAATCAATACTACCGACAACATCGTCGAAATAGCCACACCTTATGTATTAGGACCTTAACTTAGTTTCCGCCTGCAAATGTTAGATGGAAATGCAAACAGTTCTAGTAGTCATTACTAACGAAACAGGTAGTTTGTGAT